GACCACACGGTGGCGTTTCTATTGGCTGAAATGCAACAATCAATCGTCGTCCTTGTCCAACGTATAAGAGTCCTTGTTTTCCCCGCGAGCCTTCGGAGAGCTCAACGCTGCGTTCGAGGAGAGTCTCGGCGAGGGCGTGAGTGAACTCCCACTGGCCGAGCGCCCCGTTAATTACGGCTAAAATGAGCTTTCTTTACGCGAGTAAAGCACACGCGTAAGCCGGCCGCCGCTGGGGGCAGAGCTGCTCTCTGCTGATGTGCTGTTATATAAATAAACTTTGACTTAGAAATAATCACAAACTCGTTCTAACCCTAATTAGCTTCACCCGAGCTTACATAACTAACCCCCTTCTAACCCTACTAGAAAATGAAGTCTTGCCCAAATCCTTCTATTATAGGTCCAAGGCTTAACTGTAGACATGCTTTTGCTTACTATGACCTCAGCAAAAGTCAAAGGTTTTAGCCGAAATCTACTTTCACTTTATCTAACTTCACCATAAACCCAAGGCCGAGCTCTAACTCTGATATCCCTTACTTTAAGCTGTACGGCTGGTTTGGGCCTGCTCTAATTACAACATGAGCTAAAGCTTTGCTCTGTGCTTCTCCAACTTCACCACAAGTCTAATGGAATGCTTCAGATCACACTTCACTCATTTTCACTCATTCTTACTCAGTCACAAACCTAAGGCCCTGCCCTAAGCTCACTTTGACATTCATTAATTGTAGCACTATAGTTACTCGCTCTAACTTTACCACAGCCCTAGGGCCCGGCTCTAACCCTACATTATAAGCCTGAGGCCTAACAGGAAAGCTCATATTGTTTATTCTTACCTGGTCAGAAGCTGAAGACCTTTCCCTACACTGACTTTTACAATCTTTAATTTCTTCATAAAACAAAGGTCTATATTCTATTTATATGATGAGTCTGGGGCCAAGCTGAAAGGCCACTTTTGCTTCGTCCAAAGCCTAAGATTTAAAATATACATAGAGTAAGAAACAGGAGCTGTAGAGCTGGGTCTTAGGTTTGTGCTTTACTCTAACTTCTTCATGAACCTGAGGCCTTGCACTGACACCATCGCTATTTATTTTACTCCAATTAAGGCACAGAGCCTACTGTAACTAGAAACTTACTAATAACCTGCTTTTACTTTGACCTCATCGTAAGCCTGGGGCCTGGATATGAGCAAACATATGCTCAATGTAAACACTTCCAAAGTCCCATATCTACTACTGCTTTATCTAACTTCATCATAAGCCCGGGGTCCAGCTCTAAATCTACTCTTACATACACTCCAACTACGGTATAAGCCTGAGGCCTTGCTGGAAGCCTCCTTTTGTTTACTCAGACTTCATCATAAGCCTAAGACCTTGTCCTAAACCTACCTTAACATTCTCCAACTTCGCCATAAACTTTATCACTAAACCTAATATTATTTACTTTATCTGCATTATGAGCCAAAGGCCCAGCTGAAAGGCTAAATACTTTCATTTCTCCAACTTCTCATTCTACAGATGTCTTTTCACTCGCTTATTCAAACATAAACCAAAGGCCTAGCTCTATATCCTGCTTTACAGCTAGAGTAATTAACAGTAGCTAGAGAGCTAGGCCTTAGAGGATTACTAGTCAATCTAACGTTTTCATCAGCATAAGGCTTTGCTGTAAATGGATTATGTTTTCGACTACACCAGATGCCAGATGCCTAGCTGTGAGGCTCCTGATGCTATGTAAATATATCTTAAGCCTAAAGCCCAGCCCTGAACTCACTATTACTCACTCTAACTTCACCGTAATTAACAAGCTTAGCTCTAAACCGATCATCACTTACTCTATCTACACTATAAGCCTGAGGCATAGCTGGAAAGCTCCTTTTGCTCACTCTAACTTCATCATTGGCCTGAATAACCAATAACTTTCTCACACAAACGCCATCATTAGGCTGAGGCTACCTTAACTTCCTCTGACTACTTTAGAAAACAAAGACTTAGTGATAAACCAACGTAAAACTATCTTAGCTTACTCTAACATCAGCTATAGCCTAAGAGTTACCTCTTAACCCACCTGTACTCACTGGCACTTTCACTGGCCTAAGGACTAATTTCACTTACTCTGACTACATCATGACTCTAACGCCTGGCTTCACATCACAGAGCTAAGGCTTCACTTCTAACCTGCTTTTACTTACTCCCATTTCATCATACGTCTCAGGCCTGCTGTAAACTCACTTACACTCACTCTGACTTTAACATAACTCTAAGGTCTTTCCCTAAACCTAGTTTTACTCACTTTTCAATTTTAACAATTCATCACAAGCCTACAGCCTAGCTATAAACGCACTTTTGTGTGAACACATTTTTTCTACATACAACAGAAGCCTGGGGTCTCAACCTGTACCTGTTCATTCTTCCTGGAGCTTCATCAAAAGTCTAAAGCTTAGCTCCAAACTTACTTTGACTCATTTTAACTTTTGTTAACTAACTCCCATTTCATCATGCATCTCTGGCCTAGCTGTAAACTAACTTATCCCCAGTCTAACTTCAATATGACTAAGACCTTGCCCTAAACATATTTTTACTCCAGTTCATAATCACTTTCAAGGAAAAGTTATTGGGGTGGGGGAAAATAAATAAATAAATAAATAAATAGCAAAGTTAAGCACTGAGCAGGGTTAAGAAACAATACTTTGAATTCACCAGCCTAAGAACTAGCTCGAGATAAAACTTACTTAACTGCAGCATAACTCTGCAGAACATGCACCATGGCCTTAACGTAACGTAACGTTTTCTCCCCGCACCCCCGCCTTCAAAAATTCCCGCTTTCAATCTCATGAACAAAACAAAAAGCTCCTTAAGCGAAACCGTGGGTGGCTCTTAAAAGAGCCGTTGGGTTTGATCAAGTCTTGCTCACTTCTTACTTGGAGCTCGTGTACGGCCTTGGTGCCCTCGGACACGGCGTGCTTGGCCAGCTCACCGGGAAGAAGCAGGCGCACGGCGGTCTGGATCTCCCTGGACGTGATGGTGGAGCGCTTGTTGTAATGAGCCAAACGGGACGACTCACCGGCGATGCGCTCGAAGATGTCGTTGACGAACGAGTTCATGATGCCCATCGCCTTGGAGGAAATGCCGGTGTCGGGGTGAACCTGCTTCAGCACTTTGTACACGTAGATAGCGTAGCTCTCCCTCCTGGACTTTCTGCGCTTCTTGCCTCCTTTGCCGGCCGTCTTGGTCACGGCTTTCTTGGAGCCCTTCTTCGGCGCGGACTTCGCGGGTTCAGGCATGACTCTTCTTTTCGAGTAAGACTGAAGAATGAAGAAAAGCGCCCAGCACCGGCTTATCTACACTCCCATATTCAAAACAGACCAAGCCCCGCCTTCACAGTGCTGTCAAACGGCCATTGGACAACAATCAACGGCTCGCTTGACGGACAACTCCCCTCCTCCTCCTCCTCCTCCTCCTCCTCCCCTCCTCATCCTTTTTTTTAAAATTCTGTACCGTTTCAAATTGTCATCATGCTCTCATAAAAATGTTCCTCTTAAAGGGGAACTCCACTGATTTTTCAAAAATTCTGCATCATCAACTGTTCAAGATGTAAACAGAGCGGATCAGAGTGGTTTGGTGTGAAATGCTCTGTTCTAGATAAATTTGCTGAGTCTTGTCCTCAGTGGTGCTGATAGGAACCAGACATCTGAAAGGGTTAAATGGCCTGAGCATCAACTGACACACCCACACAAATCCACACTATTTATACTCTTTTGGGCGGAGAGGGGTCGACACCTGGATCCGCCCTGCTGCTCCCAAATGTTTCACACTCTTTGCCTTTTTATAACAAACTTTACTGAGGAATATTATTTCAATACAAACACATTTTCAAGTACAGAGTACAAAAATACAAAATGCACATTTATCAACATTTCTGCAATTTACAATATTACACAGTTCAATCTGCACACCATCATCTCCAAAAGTCACGGCTGTCTTGACCACCTTCACTTCCAAACCATGAAGTAATATATTTTTAGGCTGGTGCAGGTCAAAGCAGCTCACACACTCACACACACTCACAACACACACACACACACACACACTCAGACACACAAACACACACACACACTCAGACACACATACACACAGCCAAACTGCTCATCCACCATATAATACTTATGTATGAATAATTATGATCCAATAATAATTATGATCCAGTCCCCAAAGACATCCAATTATTTCAGATGTTCCACTATTTTTCCATCATCAACATTGCATATAAACTCAGAAGACTCATGTAGGTTCACTGGTGGTTCTGGATAGTAAATAAAATGTCTATATTTGTGGTGAAAATTCACTCGTTTAAGAAACTCAGAGAAATATGATGTGGAGGTATGATATTATCTTAGCAGGTGATTTTAATGCTGTAATGAAGAGAAAGAGAGAGACGACATGTATGATAATAAACCCACTGTGAGGAATTTCACAACAATATATTTAAAATTTTATATCCTCAAGATTTTGATTTCACTGAATTTGATCGTAAAACAAAAACAAGAACAGATCACATTTATATACATATATTAAATATGTTATAGTAAATGAAAGCAAAAAACTACAAAGCAGAACCTTCAAGCATGTAAAATCAGGTAAAAGAAACCCTTTAGGCTGACGATGTAGTTAAAGTTGGTGAAAGGAGGCTGACGGCTGTGCTTCAGGCTTATAATGTAGTCAAACAGTAGGTTTAGAGAAAGGCCTCTGGTTCATGCTGAAGTCAGACTGAGTGAAAGCTTTTAGGATGTTCTTAGGCTTTCAGTTCAGAGTTGAGCCTCAAGCTGTAATTAGAGTGAGTGTAACCAGGTTACTGGTAAGGCTGAAGGCTTGTTTCACTGTGGATTTATCTGTTCTATGTGTTTCTGCTACTGAGTTTCTGGACTCCATTAGGTCAGATTTAAATAAAAGCAGCTCACACTTTCATCCAGCCTCTGCACCTCCTACACCTGATTTGGAACCTCAGCTGCTGTGTCCTGGTTCTCTTTCTGTACGAGAACCTCCTGAGTTCCTTAATTGATGCCACACATTTGCGTACTGTACATGTCGTTCTCCCTGTTTTGTTTACCTTCTGGTCCACCATCCCATGTATGTGTAGCTCCTTTGTTCTTTGGGTAACCATATAACTTTATTGGCAGTGAGACTGAGTTACTGTGTTCTGCTGCTGTAGGAGTTTCTACACTGACTGGACACGACAGCAACACCTTAAAGGGGAATTCCACCCATTTCTAAATCTCAATTTTCCTAAAAATCATTAGATTTTTTAAAAAAATCAATTTCCTAAATCTCTGCAACAGCAAATGGTTAACAAATTCATTTCATGGTGCCTGACAAACACTATAAAATGAGTCAGAGTTAGTAAAAGAGTGTTAGTAGTTTAGCCTTAGATTCCTGATGTAGTTAACATGAAAGAAAAAAGTTACAGCAGGGCTTCTCAACCGGTGGTCCATGGACCACCAATGGGCCTTGAAGCACCCTCTAGTGGTCTGTGGGCCTGTACTCAGAGGGAGTCAGTAATCTGAACTGGTAAGGTCACTGTAAGTCATAAAAACATAAGTGGAAAAATGAAAAATGTCACAGTTGTGTCTCATTAAACATCATCAGTCTGAGACAGTGCAGCTGCGGCCCCGATGCAGACAGCCAGAGATGGAGAAGTTTCTCAGGGCGCTTTGATTTTGTGAGGACTTTTCACCCTTTTTTCTTTAGTTCGCTCTGTTTTGAAGTGTGTGAACAGTCCACCCGTATTCAGATCTGCAGTCAACAGCTGAACCTGTCTGGCTAAACCTGCAGGTCTATAATAATATATAATATAATAATATATAATATAATACTGCAGTAACACTGACGTGGTGGTGTGTTAGTGTGTGTTGTGCTGGTGCGAGTGGATCAGACACAGCAGTGCTGCTGGAGTTTTTAAACACTGTGTCCACTCACTGTCCACTCTATTAGACACTCCTACCTTGTCGGTCCACCTTGTAGATGTAAAGTCAGAGACGATAGCTCATCTGCTGCTGCACAGTTTGTGTTGGTCATCCTCTAGTCCTTCATCAGTGGTCAGTGGATGCTGCCCACAGGACGCTGTTGGCTGGATATTTTTGGTTGGTGGACTATTCTCAGTCCAGCAGTGACACTGAGGTGTTTAAAAACTCCAGCAGCTCTGCTGTGTCTGATCCACTCAGACCAGCACAACACACACTAACACACCACCACCACGTCAGTGTTACTGCAGTGCTTAGGTTTTGTTTCTAGGTTAGTTCTGGTTTAATCCTGTTCTAGTTCTGGTTTGTTTCACTGTGGATTTATCTGTTCTATGTGTTTCTGCTACTGAGTTTCTGGATTTCATTAAGTCAGATTTAAATAAAAGCAGCTCACACTTTCATCCAGCCTCTGCACCTCCTACACCTGATTTTTTGGTTGAGGTGGAACCTCAGCTGCTGTGTCCTGGTTCTCTTTCTATACGAGAACCTCCTGAGTTCCTTAATTGGTGCCACACATTTGCGTACTGTACATGTCGTTCTCCCTGTTTTGTTTACCTTCTGGTCCACCATCCCATGTATGTGTAGCTCCTTTGTTCTTTGGGTAACCATATAACTTTATTGGCAGTGAGACTGAGTTACTGTGTTCTGCTGCTGGAGGAGTTTCTACACTGACTGGACACGACAGCAACACTTTAAAGGGGAATTCCACCCATTTCTAAACCTTAATTTTCTTAAAAAATCATTTGATTTTTTAAAAATCAATTTCCTAAATCTCTGCAATTGCAAATGGTTAACAAATTCATTTCATGGTGCCTGAAAACACTATAAAATGGTTGAGTTTTTTGCCTTCAAATACACTGCATAAACCTCTCCGGTGAATTTATTTCTTAAGGCAAAAATGGCCCAAAAACTCATTTTAC